AGTTCCTTGAAAATTTGGAGTGGTGTGGCTGACACTGAGGGCGGATGGCTATTGTGCTAAGCAGATATCTTGTTAGTGTCCAATAAGAGCTAAACATTTGAACATACCAGCCCCAACACTCTCCACTGCTTTAATATGAAAGTGGTGACAATATCAAGTGTGTAATTTTAAACTTTTACTATATGTTAAAGCCCCTTAGTGTTTACTTGGAATCATGTGAATTTTCACTTGGATGTTCGGGTAAGTTTTGTCCACAGAGCTATTCAAAGGTCTGTGTATATTTGGAAAACTTGCACAAACTTTGGAGGTGATATCAAACAGCAATTGTAACATGAATTTTCCAGAATCTCCAAGATGATGTGTTATTTTTAAATACTACTACAGGACTTTGGAGGCTATTATATAGCTGATTTGACATTTAAAATATCTGAATTAATTTCATCATCAGATGCATCCAGAGAATTATGGATGGCATTAAAATTTTGATTTGAATATAAATCTACTCATTTATAGAGCATTTTTTATACCTCCATTGTCTTAAAGGAAAGTAGGTGAATATCAATAAACACACGACCTCTATTATCAGAATAATCCTTGCTCTAGAGCAACGGTTCTCAACCTGTGGGTTGCCTGATTCATAACAGTAGCAAAATTATAGTTATGAAGTAGCAATGAAAATAATTTTATGGTTGGGGAGTCACCACTACATGAGGAGCTGTATTAAAGGGTTGCAGCATTAGGAAGGTTGAGAACCACTGCTCTAGAGCAAAGAATTTTCAAAACGAAGGGAAAATTAAACTGACAATATTAAAATTGATTTCATTAACTATGCATCTCTACATGGTGAAATAGAAGAACGTGTAGATGAAACAAAAACAAACAAAAAACAAAATGAAAGGTACGAATAACAAAATTTCAATTCTTGGAAAGATAAGAAAATATATTTAAGAGTATTTTCTCGAAGTTATATAATGTAATCAACGGGATTCTACAAATCAGGGTGAAACATTTGTATTTAGTTTATTCATCAGGTAATGGTGAAGCAAAAAGCCTTACTTTATCCCAAGCAGATAACCAATTTTCATACAAAAGTCCACGTGTGATTTCACTTTTTAAAAGGCTCAAATAATATTATTGATGAAAACTTTCATTATTAAACTTTCTTCAATTTAATATACTACTTTGTCTAGGATAATTTTTAAAATTAATTTCCTTTATGAGACTTTATAGCAGAATCAAATTGTGTCTTTCTGTTGGATTTTCATATTGGCCTTTTTACTTGATGTTTAAAATGATTGAATACCATTCTATTTAAAATATATTAAATATTCAGTCTAATTCTTTTGTATGTCCTCTAAACACTTAAATATATAGGTGTTATGTGAAATCAATATTGGAAGACAAGCATAGTGGTTGATTTGCTCTAGGATTGTACTCTATGATCATCAAGAAATGATAATAAGACGAATTCATTTGATTGCTGGGCCCTTCATATGTCACTAGGTTCCTTGTGCACTGGAGTCCCATTTCTCGGGAGTTTGGTTGGGTGCTCCAAGGCTACCTTTGTTCTTGGAGATGGAATGGGGACTCTGGTGGGTTTGTTATTACATCCCGGTGACTGCTGGGATGTAAACACCAGACTTCATAAGGCTACATTGTTACCTGAAGACTGTCACCAGGGAATATGAATGGGACTTGACAATCTAGTTTCACCATGACTTTGTGGTGAAAACAACAGTCTTTTGTTGGTAAGTAGCGTTGGTGAGATTATTACAGCACAGAAATGATGATGGATGATAAAGGCCATGACCCTCATTTTTGGGATTTTAAATGCAGGACCATACCTGGTCATTGTGAAGGAAGAACCCCAGGGGGTAGGAGAAACCCAGCATCGTCTCTCTGTGCATGCCATTGTGCAGGTCATTCTTCAGGAGTTTCTCCTCCAGGATCACGTGGTACTTGAGTAAGTCCTCTTTCTGGAAAATGCAAAGAATCGAAAGTCAGCCAGTCACTGGTTGCTTAGCAGGCTTTGCCAAAGTGCCAGGTACTCAGTGAACCAGAAGCTTTGACTGAGACATCCAGACACAATAGATATTAAATATCCAAATGA